TCCTCAATGATATAGACTAAAGAATTTCAACAGAATAAAATCAAGACGCCTTCTTAAACATCACAAGTGAGTTTCTAAGCAAACAATTTAGAAACAACAATGATGAGGTCAATTTTACTTTTGATAACCTGCCAGTTTTGAAGCTGATTTTCGTTAAAAAGTCTTCAGCATCCTGCCAATCATCAATAAGATAAGTCTTCTTAAGATGTTCTCGTGTAACGCGATCAAGCACTCCTTGGACATGATTTTCAGGATCTTTGATGTTCTCTACTCTAACCTAAAAAAAAACCATACTTAAACATACATATATTCCTAATAAACAGACTTTCATGAATGGAAGATTTTAGATGTGAAACTTATCCGCAAATATCGAATAAATAATAAGAAAAAACAATTTGTTATTTTTCATCTTTAATATTCTATCAGGAAAATCAGATAGTCACAGAATTCCATTTCAAACTGGCATGTAAAAAATACTGACAATGCCTTTAAGAACTAGTTGGGTTTCCGAGTCTCCCTGTGGGTAAACAACACCTGGGCAATCAATCAAGTAAATTCGCTTCATTAACGTAACATATTGCCAGACCTGCAAAAATTACACGTATAGAAATTTAAGTAATAATATTTGTTTTTGAAATTATAAACGCCACCTTTGTTTCTCCAGCAATTGGTGCTGTCTTACAAACGTGTTTTGCCCGAAGAGTATTGACTACAGATGACTTCCCAACGTTAGGATAACCAATAAAACCAACACTTATCTAAAATTTATTAAAATGTTACAGTAGGAACACAAACACAAAAAATGTCATTTAATTCCAAATAGGCGGCAGAAGTAATTATTTTTCAAGTGGGTTCACTAACCTGTTGTCGGTCTTTATGAAGCTTCGCAAACTGTCGCAGTAAATTAATCAACGAGCTTTTTCCAAAAGAATGTTGCATTGAGGCATGGAAAACAATAGTAGGCAATTCTTTTGACAACAGAGAAAGCCATTTTTTCTTAAACGAAAAAAAAAAAAACAGGTAAGCAATTTGTGAAAAGAGCCAAATAATTTGTGATGAAAAATTAATAGATGTTACCGTAACCCAAGTAGGAACGAGATCAATTTTGTTGATAATTAAGATCACATGTTTGTGAGGCTTCTCTTTACGCAGGAAACGTTCAACATGTAAGCAACGAGTGCCCATAGGGTCTCGAGCATCAATCACTTCGGCAACAACATCTGACGAATCCAAAACCTAAAAATGCCAATAATAGCAAAGCAAAAAAAAGTTAGTTTTAACCCTTCAGAATAAAGACTTTGAGAAAAAACACCTTAAAGTTCTCAGGAAACTTTATCTAAACCAAATAAAAACTCACTTTGTACAGTTCTCCCCATACTCGGTTACTCTGGCCTGCTCTAAATAACGGGTTAGGATTTTCAGCTCTCTCGACAAACTGTTCATTTTTGACAAGGTCTCTATCCTTTTCTGCACTATAAGCATCAATTCGACCTTCCATCTCTTTGCAAAACTCCTAAAATAAAAAGATAACAGGAACAAGATAACAACTAGATAAATTAGGGTGACAAAATTCACTAACTTCCAAATCCGTAAAATGTATATTTGGTTTTTTTCGCTGTGCGCTCTTCCCAAAAGTATACTCATAGCTTTCAGTGTCCAGAACATGAACTCGTTGACGCTAAAACATCGTGTAAAATGCACCATATGTTGTCCACAAAAAACTATGAATTAGAAGTTTACTATTCGAAGGAGCTGCTTAGCAGTAATAACCAACGTCGGCCTTTTCGGAGAGAAGCGAAATAGGTAATTTCGTCTGTTTCATAACCACTTGAAAAGGGTCGTTGATGATCTTCTTCATACCTTCCTGGAATTTCTGCAACTGTTCCTGGCCAACAATTCGGGTATTTCCTACAAAATTGGAAGAACTATTTGAAAGAATAAAGGCAAAGGAAATTAGATCCATTTCGCTAATATTAATTACATTTTCTAAAATATCATGCAAAATGACAAGATAAGTGTAAAAAATTACAGAAAAATCAACAAAAATGCTCTTTTTGAAAGATTTTTCTCAGTCCTAACAGCAAATGTAAAAAACTGACCAAACCATTTCCTATGAGGTTCCACTCTAGCAACTGTGCCTGAAGCAAGACGTTTTTGAAATGGAGCGTCCCTAGTTATTTTACCGCGTGAGTCACTAAACTATATCCTATTAACGCGTAACACTTCAAGACAAAAGAAACGAAAAACATCAAGAACTAAAACAGTAAAAGAAGATAAATCAAGAAAATTTAAAAATTCTACATAAAAAATGAT